TAGGATGAAGCGCAACACACATAGGCATCCAAATCAGCAAAAACACAAGATTGATGACATCTACACTAGGGGCATGATCACCGAAGTATCCTAGGATGAAGCGCAACACACATAGGCATCCAAATCAGCAAAAAGACAAGATTTGGAAGGAGGTAGTAGATGAAGAAGGGGGGGGGGGAGGAGGAGAGGGAAAGGAAGGAGAGGAAAAAGGAGAAAGAGAAGAAGAGGAGAGAGAAAGAAGAAGAAGAAGGAGATGAAGAAGAAGAAGAAGAAGAAGAAGAAGGAGAAACTCCCTTCTCTTTCACTCACCTCTCACTGGTCTCTAGTCAATGGGCTTCCAGGCTTGGTTCTAGCTCCTTGGGTATGACTTCCCCACCTCTCCAGTTCTCTCCCCCTTCTCTCACACCTCCTTCCAGGTTATGTCAAGCTCCTACCTCTAAGGCTAAGGAGTCCTTCCCTCTAGAAGGGCTAAGGGGACCCCTTTCAGCCTCTTTTCCTACCTCACAGCCTGAGGGCTATGGCGGATCACTTCCCTTGCTTCTCTCTAGCCTCTAGACCTTCTCCCTCAGCCCTATCACCATAGCCAGGCTCAGGGCTAGCTCCGGCTCCACCTCCCTTGCTCTATTCCACTAGGACTCTCTCATGGACTCATTTGGGCAGCATGGGTTCCTCTCATGCTCAAATGAGAATGGCGGTCTGCATTCTCAGCTTATATAGGCTGGAACTGGTGCACCGCCCAACCCCTAGGCCTCCCCAAGTGCCTCTAGGTGGAGCGAGGTACCCCCAAGGCCAAATTTCCGGTTTTGGCCTATCTGGAGGTACCTGGGCCTCATTTTGGTAAAGTGCATGCAGTCCGAGTGGCTGGTACCCTCTCGGACTACCCCTTGGCCTACCCCGGCCTCTCTTTACTTCAAAAAGAGCTGCCTTTTGGGGTACCACTTCCCAAAATGCAGCCTTTACCGAAATTTGAGGGCCTAGAGGCCCATTTTTCGTCTTTTTCCTGGTCTAGGCCTCTTTTGGATAAGCTGTTGCATTTTTCCAAGTGGTGACTCCAATCTCAGCCCTGGATTTGGCTGGGATAGATGGTTCTCATCATTTCGAGCTACCCCCAAGCTCCCCTTGACCCAAATTTGAGCCTTTTACTTCAATTTTTAAATTTTTGGTGTATCTGGCTCAATCCTTGGGCCAAATACGCAGTTTTGTCTTGTTCCTCTCTTTGTTTTCCCTCCATCTTGCTGCCAACTCATTCCGGAGCTAGCCGTTTTGTGTCAGCCCACAAAAAAATGGCTAGATCTCCACCTCCGCAAGATCAGATTTCAGATCTAGGGCCCAAAAATGAGCCGGCCAACTCACACTAGCATTTTTCTTTATTTTTGCTGCTTAAATTCAGATATTGCAGAGATAATGCCCTAAGGACCTTATCTTTGCAATCCGGACTGCCCTCCTAGGATCTAGGAGGGATGAGGTCATCATTGAGACCTGCCAGTCCCTACCGCTGCAGTCCCAACCTGGCGGCATATTTTTCTCCACCCTTTCTTCCTCCTTTGTCTCATCCTCTCCTTTTCTCTCTCCTTTCTCTTTTATTACTATTGGGACAAGTGTCCAACAGCTATTCCTCCTCTTTCTAGCTGTTAGACCTTTCCCAAGGCCTGTTTTTGCAGCCGGCATATGGCCGTTACACCTCGGACTGTAGTAGTGGCACCCCCAAGGCCGAAGGGGGCTCCCTTTTGCTGCCGCCACTTCCAGTTTGAGACCCCCCTTGCTCCAATTTTCTCCGGCCAACCTTTTCTCTACGCGGAGCCCTCGGAACTTCGTTTTTCTTGGCCTGGCTGTTCCGGAATAACCCGGACTGCTGGCCGGCCTCCTCATTACCACTATTCCCCCTTGTTTTTGCCCTCGGCACCTCTTGCCGACGTTGCCGCGGCGGTACTTAGTATTTTCATCCGGACACCTGGCCCGGACGGTCCCGTCCACCTCACACTATGACATCTTATTTTTATCATTGTTGCGCTTGATCCAGGGTCCCCYTGGGTCGCCSYAGGTGCCCTCCGTCTTTCCCGTCTCACGCTTGTCTCCTCCGTTCTGTCGACAATTTCCGTCAGCGCCCGACTTCTCCTCTTTTTCGTATTGTTCCTAGCCCCTCCCCTTTTTCCGGCGTCATCCCRGGTGACGACTCGCTCTCGCGCGCCCTCCTCCTTGCGCTGGTCGCCGATTATTCCGCCGACGACTCCGACCTTCAGCCCCCGTCRGCGGCTCCCGACACTTCATACCRTCGATACCCGTCCTGCTAGCGGTTCCGCTGGTGCCGCCATTTTATCTAGGCCCACGCGGTCCCTGGCACTTCGGCCCGCCTGCCCTGCGTCTTTTCCCTTGGTCTCACGCGGTTCCCGGTACTTCGCCCTCCCGGCACCACGTCGTCCCTTTGTCCCGCGTGGTCCCCGACACTCCTGCCCTTCCTGTACC